CCCTGCATTTACTGTCTTTCAGATGTCTTCATCTCCAAGTGATCAATGTACTACAGTGGCATGTTTTAGGATAGCATGTTCTGTTACCATTCAGGGTGATGTAGGTTGAAGTAACTATGGCCATTGGTTCACCACTGCTGTCATATTCATCTTGTTTCCTTACAATGGGATCCCAGTTTTGGCTGGACATAGCTTTATCAGCCGTAAGATGTAAGACCTGACAAAGCTGCTTAATTGAACATAGAGAAACAAAAATCCCTGATATTTTCTTTCTGTATGCTCTCCTGAGAACACATTCCTTTCCATTCCATGGTTCTTTAAATCACTGGCTTTTGAATTAGCTTCAGGATGACTGCAAATGAACCAGTTAAAGAGTTGGTTAAAATATAGATCCCAAGATTTTTATTTGGTGTGTGTGAAGGGGATGACCAGGAGTTTGCATTTTTGAAAAGTTCTCCATGATGCATTCAGATGTGAACTCAGGTTTTGGAGACACTCTTACAGATTATTACTATAATACAAAGATGCTATAGTACCCTTTTACATTCTGAGTCTTTCCCTTCTAAGCCATTATACATCCCCATTTCTGGGTTGGGGGGAGCATTCAAAACATACAAACATGCGTGATTTCACTAAAGCCTGTTAATATTGTCAACAAAAGAACATCCAGCTAAAACTAATTTAGCTCAGTGGATAGAGTGTTGTTCTGGGATTGAAAGGCCCCAGGTTCGATTCAGGTCAAGGGCATGTACCTTGATTGCAGGCACATCCCCAGTGGGGGTGTGCAGGAGGCAGCTGGTCAATGTTTCTCTCTCATCGATGTTTCTAGCTCTCTTATCCCTCTCCTTTCCTCTCTGTAAAAAATAAATAAGATATATTTTTTTAAAAAAAGAATATCCAACCTATAAAAACATTGGTAAGAGTTTATTAGAGTTTGTGTGAGCCAAACTGAGGTCGTACCCTGAAGCAAGATCTCAATAGATTGAGAAAATGCTTTGGAAAGTGGAACTTTGACAGTTCTTTTTATGCATTTAGAATCAAAAAAGAAAATATAAGGAAGGTTACATGAAATCCATTGCTTGGTTGATTAAGGAGGCAAGAGAAAGCAAAATGGCAAAATCTCTGGGACTGGATATAAAGCAAAATAGAAAAACACATACTTCTTTTACACTGGTGGGTGTAGGATAGTTAGCATTTAACATTAACAGTAAAGAGAGGTGTGAGGAGGGCAAAAGGTAACAATGAGGAGTTAGATGCATGTGCTCTTGTGGGGATGTAGAAAAGATGGCTCTGTAGGCCAAGGGTATGCTATCCTAGAAGCACAAGAACAATTGACAGGCCTTGCTTAGGTTAGAGAACCTTTTACTAAGGAAACTATGGTACTGAGGTGTGACTACCCACCACAACTTACCCAGTGGGAATTTCTGATCAGATCATCCTGTGTGCTTACTTTTGATCATTGAGCTTCTCAGGCCTGCCATGTAGCTCCTTTCTTGTTCACAGCATCATTGTCCTGAACAACAATTCTGATAATTTCCCATAAAAATAAGTTGGATAATGTCCTATTAGAAAGTTTTCTGAGGAGGATGATACCAATAAACTCCTTAACCTTATAACACTTAGTATAGAGCCTTCCATATGACAGAACATTTATTCACAATTTAAGGGTTTCGTATTCATGAATGAGACAGTTGAGACTTTGGTAAATAAAAGATTGCATTTCTCTTTTGCACATACTTTCTGATATAGATGACAACATTTACTCACTTTATGCAAGTTCAGAGGGCCTTTTATTTTTCATATTACTGTAATAGAGGTGTTAAAAATATCATTCAACCATTATGATTCAGGCACTAGAAATAAGTGATTTGCATGCATTGCTCCATTTAATTCTTTCAATAGTTCCATGAGATAGGTGAAAATATCTATGTAGACCAAGGGTCTGAAGTTTTAAGAGATTTGTCCAGTCGCATGTAGAACTTAAGTTTTTGAGCTGAAATTTGAACCCAAGTTCAGAGATTTTATTTTTCCTTTTTTGTTCTTGGACACTGGATATCAGTATAAAGAATACAGCAAATGGTCATTTCTTTTTTTTACTACCGGTAGTTTTTCAAAAGAAGAATAGAATTTCCTAGGAATTTGGTAAAATATGCATGCCACTTTTCCCCCCTTTCTTTTGACAGATTTTACATAATAAAACGATAGTTTTCCATTTTTAACCACATTTTAACAAAAATATGAATCTGAGATGGAAAATCAAAAGCTATGCCACAGTTGGATAGGTACAGGTTCGAGAATGCCTGATGAATTTGGGAGTGTGACTTTCTTCCTACATTGCTTATAGAATGTTTGAAGACACTCTGCTACCAGCGGCTTTCTATTTCTCCTATCCCCAAAAGGTGACAGGTGAGAGGCCTTGGAGCTAGAAAAGAACTAGTATAGATTTCTCTCTTAAAAAAAAAAAAAAAAAAAAAACCTGTTAATTATAAAACCTGCCTAGGAAAGTCACGTGGTAAATCATGGTGGGGGAAATTCTGTTTGCTAACTTCTAGGAAATCACAGGGAATCAGTTAGTGGTGAGTACATTAAAAAACAAGTCCCTCACTATTCATCATTTTGTTCTCAGCCAGTATGAAGAACCTGATAGCAATGATAAAATGTCATGATCAGAACACACATATTATAGTTCTGGGTATAGATTCATAATATGTAGTAGAGAGATATAGATAGATGATAAAAAGTGACACTTTTTATTCTTTATGTTTGGTGCCACTAAGAAAGAATATCTGTTTGACTACAGAATTGAAACTAGAAGTTTCCTTAACCAGGGAATACTTTTAAATATATATATATATATATATATATATATATATATATATATATATATATTTTTTTTTTTTTTTTTTTTTTTTTTTTACCATGAGGTTACAGATGTGGTCTAGTTATATGAGGACAGGTGTGCTGGTAGCATTTGTGAATCTTGCATTGGGAAACATTCCCCTAGTCTTGCATCGTGAATCATCTGGATTTATGTGAAACCTTTGATGGAGTCATGAGTAAATTCCTGGCGAACAGGGACCATGTCTTAATGATTTCTTGCATCTCCAATACTGTGTTAGAGGTAGCACTTAGTAGGACCAGTTGGTTCAATTTTACAACAGGCTGATTGAGTCCATGAGCTGCTGCTACCATATATATATAACTGTGCTAGCAATCCATTTGTAGGATCTCTGGATATTCTGTATAGCCTGCATGACCAACCCATAAGCCCTCTTTGTACTATTAGTTCTGATTTATTAATTTCCTGAATAAATGTTGGTTACTGATTAAAGTGTAGACTATGATTAGTGTGACAGAAAACATTTATTCAAGTTATGGTTGAGTTTTTTGGATGATAGGGTTAAAATTCAGATTGACCTTGAATATAATCAGTACAAATAAGTAGAATTAAGACCATAGGGAAGTATAGCTTTTAGAAAACTAAATATAACATGGGAGATTGTGTATGCATAAGTTTTTTTGCAGGGAGGATAAAAAAGGGGACCCATTGTGAGTCAGCAACATACTGCTTTATTTTCTTAGTTATTGGGTGCATACTGCCAGTTAACCACATGTGGGAACCACTGGATAACATTTTCAAAATATTTGTCCAACACTTTTATAAATCTGTGGCAATTAGATACACAGGAGCATTGGAAATAGGACCTATTGAAAGAGGATAATAAATAAGGATTAGCTGTTTAGCCTGAACCAAAGCACTGAGTGGTGATTAAATTAATGGTCTTCTGAGGCATGTACAGTTATTATGTAGATGATATCATTATCTCCACTATGAAGAAAATTAAGGAAATAGACTTACATTAGAGTTAAAGGAGATTTTTGAAGGAGTGAAAATTAATTTTAAGGATTGCTGGACAGTGGAAAGACTTCTCAACTGGAGATGTGGAATCATGTTCCTTACAAGACAACAATGGGGGGTGGATATGCATGCTATTAGACTTAGATGCAGTTGGAGTGCAGATTGATAGACTTTCTAGATCCCATTTTGTGCTGCTCATCTCACATTGTTTGACATGTTCAACGAGTAAATCAGTATTCTTTTTTCAATTAATACTATAGGCCTGGTGCACGAAATTTGTGCATGGAGGGTGTGTGTCCATCAGCCCAGCCTGCACCCTCTCCAATCTGAGACCTTTCGAGGGATGGCCAACTTCCTGTTTAGGCCCAATCCCATCAGGATTGAGCCTAAATTGGCAGTCAGACATCCCTCATCCAGGACTGCTGGCTTCCAACTACTTGCCTGCCTGCCTGTTTGCCCCTAACCACTTCTGCCTGCCAGCCTGATTACCCCTCAACCATTCCCCTACCAGCCTGATTAATGCCTAACTGCTCCCTGCTGGCCTAATTGCCCCTAACTGAACTGTCCTCCCTTGCCAGCCTGGTTACCCCTAACTACCCTCCCCTGCCAGCCTGGTTATCACCAACTACCCTCCCTTGCATACCTGGTCTGTCCCAGCTGCCCTTCTCTGTAGGCCTGCCCCCCCCACAACTGCCGTCCCCTCCACACCTGGTCACCCCTAACTGTCCTCCCCTGCAGGCTTGATGCCCTTAACTGCCCTGCCTTGCAGGCCTGGTCCCTTCCAACTTCCCTCCCCTGCTGGCCATCTTGTGGTGGCCATCTTGTATCCAGATGGGGATAGTCATCTTTGACCACATGGGGCAGCCATCTTGTGTGTTGGAGTGGTGGTCAATTTGCATATTACTCTTTTATTAGAGAGGGTTTTTTCATAGTTATTACTAATACCAAGATTTTGCTTTTAATGATTCTGTAATGTACCTCAAGCAAGAGAGAGGTCAAACCACGAATTGAAAATTACTTCACTTGCATATCAACTTGCTGCTCATTTTTATATGGGCCTTTAGAATATTCTCAATTCCAACTTGCCTTTTCTTTTTCTTCTTTAGGAAACGTATTGTGCACCCTCCTCACTTGTTCTACAATGAGTGCCAAGTCTGCCATCAGCAAGGAGATTTTTGCACCTCTTGATGAAAGGATGCTGGGAGCTGTCCAAGTCAAGAGGAGGACAAAGAAAAAGATTCCTTTCTTGGCAACTGGGGGTCAAGGTGAATACTTAACTTACATCTGCCTGTCAGGTAATGAAAATTAGATACTAATATTATTAAAACAACTTCTCTTTTAAAACAGTTCATTCTGAGGAATCCTGGAGGGTTATATACACAAGTTTTGTACATGTCTGCTCATGCACTCTGCTTTTCTGTTGTCTGCTCTGATCCTTATTCTTGGTACTTCTACTTCTGAGGTTGCCTTATATGGGAAAGGTAATGAAGCTCAATTTTCACGTGTTTTCTGATTCATTCAGAGCTTCTGTAAAGGATTTGAGAGACACAGTTGCTTGTCCATACTTCCTTCACTAGGACATTGGCAGAATGTGGGATAGCCTTCGGGATTTTTGTTTTAGAACAATTACTGATATTTGGATAATTGTCCTTATTAGCAGCCTGAATTTCATCGAATTTCTTTTTCTTAACAGTTGCCAATAGCCAGTAATAGTTTGACTTAAGATAACTATCGGATGTGAGGAAGTAGCCTGAGCTCATAGATCACTCTTTTTCCCGACAGCTGTTCCTTGTCAGAAAGGCATCTGTGTCTATTAAGTCTAGTATTTTGTTAGATTATATTTTCCCCTTTCTTTTTGTTATTGTAGGAGATCTGTGGAATTTACTGTGGATTTATATCAAGTTTTTTTGAGCTAAAATTAGGATAAATTTTCCATGGAGTTATGGGACATTTGTAATATTTCTGATATTTCTTGTAACTGTACAATGAAAGAATTAAGCTTGCCTTAATTCATTTTTTTTAATTTTCCTTAAATGTGGCTTGGGAATAAAACTTTTTTGGACTAATTTTTAGCTTAAAAAACTAAGCCTGTGATTATTTAAGTTTATCACAATTTATTTCAGGGTACAGAGAGCTTTTTTCCAGAAAGTACATGTAAAGATAATAATAAGACTGTATCTTAGTATAAACTGAAATGAAAATAACTCTGCTCAATGTGACTCAGTTGGTTGCAGTATTATGTCATGCAGCAAAGAGTCATGGGTTCTATTCTGTTTTATTCTTGGTCAAGATATAGACCATCATCTTTTCTTTGACTACCACCTTTAAAAAAATCTTGAGTTTCGGGTTTGGGGAATGTATGAGAGGCAATCAATCGGTGTTTCTCTCTCTCTCTCTCTCTCTCTCTCTCTCTCTCTCTCTCTCTCTCTCTCTCTCTCTCTCCCCCTCCCTCCGTCCCTCCCTCCATCCCTCCCTCCCTCTCTCCCTTTCTCCCTCTTTCCCTCCTGCCTTTCTCTCTAAAAACAATATAAACATATCCTTGGGTGAGGAATAAAATAAATAATTAAATAAAAATAAATAAAATGAAATGAAATGAGAACATAGCCCCTTAGGTAAAAATGCTATCTCAATGGTTAAAAGAAAGCTTTTGTATAAATGAGTGTGAGAGAATTGACCTCACCCTCATTTAAATATTGCTCTCTCTTTTTTATCCCAAATAAAGATTAGGTTAATAAAATCTGGTTACTGTTGGAGGGCATTTGCATGCCTTTAGTGTGCTGCACAGTGTCTGGCATATAATAGAGGTCTAATCATAGCTAATGACTAAAAGAAAGAAAGGTAGTCATTCCTAATACCTTCCTAGTATTTTGTTACTGAGACTCAGGTCTTATTTTTTTTTTCCATATTCTTAAATTTAGATTCTAGAGTTTTTGCTTGTACCAATTAAAAGAGCAATGTGTTATAATAAATTTTGTTTTGTGTTCAGGCTGAGATGAGCATGGGCACATAGTGATTCTAATTTTATTTAGCAGTTTTGCTTGCATTTGAGGCACATGCTATTATTGTTTGCATATTTCAGATCCTATAGCCTGCAAGAGTGATATGGGGATGTTAACTACCTCATCTCATGAAGCAGCATACCCATGTTCCCTGCTGTAGGAGATGATGACTGGCTAACTGCATTTCCTTTACAAATTCCAAGAACTTCATGTTTAAAGTCAGAAACTGCGAATTGCTCTTTCATTGTAACGGAGGAAAATTTTTTGCACATTTAAGCAGATGAGTTCATGGAAACAGAGGCAGGGGAAGGCCAGGCAACTTTGACACCCAAACGTTTTTTGCAGTTTTATTTTTCTTATCATTGAGACAGAAGCAGCAACCTTTATTTTCTTATGTGAAACTTAGAGGAAGACCACTCACATCTCTGATAATGTAATGTTTTTATTAATAAGTAATTCATTAGTTACTCAAATATTAAGTACTTTTTATGTGCTGACCACTCTATGTGCTTAGGGGTTCAGATATGAGAAAAACTCATGAAGCTCACCTTGTTTCATGGGGAAGGAGCAATAAACATTAATAAGCTATTCATTAAAAATGTAATCATTAACCATAAAAAGGTTAACGAGGAAAAATATAATGAGATGAAGGCATGTGTAAGGAAATTTGGTCTGGTTGGGAGAACCAAGAACTGCTTCACGGATTCTGAAAAGATAATGGTGTTGGTGCAGAGAGCATTCCAGGCAGAGGGAATGGCAAGGAGCCTCATTAAAAGGCTCAGCTAGGTTTTGAGTTTCTCCTTTTATCCCACTCATTTGAAAGATGACCTCTTTAGAGATGAATTCATCTAGGAAGTTGTGAAGTGAGAGCAGAGTCCTTGAAGGACAGCTTCCTTCCTGCTATGAGTGAGCTACCTCATGCTTTCGGGGGAAGCCAAGCCTTTCAATTCCTATGGTTTGGTTGATGAAAACCAGCTATCCATTTTGAACAGGCAAACTCTGTATAAATTAGTGCAATATCTGCAAATAATATTTAACCACTTTGAAAACAGTATAAATAGTTGTGTGTGTGTGTGTGTGTGTGTGTGTGTGTGTGTGTGTGTGTTTAAGGGGAAGAATATCACAGTTTTAAAAGCTTGCCAACATATGCATATAAGACATTGATATCCAATGTCTTTTTCTAATGTTCCTTTGTGTGAATCCCTCCCCACTTCTAGTGTCTGGCAGAATTTATAATCTGAGAGGAAGACATTATATAATCTGTGAATATAGAGATTATTTTCAGAGTGTGTTATATATCCTCTGTAGGAATATAAAAAAGGTTCTGGAGTGAAGGAAATGAGATTATCTTTCTTTAGTTATTTAGCTGTAATTCTTTAAGGAGAGAAAAAGAATCTCAAGTTCATTCATAGAATTTGAGTTTTTCTCATGTACTGACATGATTCTGTTAATTAGCATTATTAAAGCACTTATTTCTAATTTTTCTTCTTGGCAATGGCTAAAGTTTAAAAGACTGACAATACCAAGAATGTGGAGCAATTTAAGCTCCCCTACTTTCTTGGGCAAGGGAGATGTAAAAATGATGCAAGCACTTTGGTAAACAATCTGACATTTTTAAATAAAGTCAAATATCTACTTATGTGACTCAGAAACTGCATTCCTAGGCATTTACCCATAAGAAATAAAAGCATAAGTTCATTCTAAGGATTGCTGTAGCTATTCGGGGTCTTTTTTTTTTATTCCAGATAAATTTTTGGAAAATTCGTTCTAGGTCTGTGAAATATACCATTGGTATTTTAATGGAAAGTGTATTGAATTTATAGATTGCTTTGGGTAGTATGGACATTTTGATGATGTTGATTCTACCAATCTATGAATATAGTATGTTCTTCTCTGTTTATTTCTTCCTCTATCTATTTTTTTCAGTGTCCTGTAGTTTTTCACATTTAGTTAAGTTTATTCCTAAGTATCTTAATTTTTTTTGGTGCGATGGTAAATGGGATTGCTTTTTTACTCTCTCTTTCTGTAAGTTCATTATTGGTGTATAGAAATGCCATAGATTTTTTGGTGTTAATTTTGTATCCTGCTACATTGCCAAATTCATTTATTAAGTCTAATACTTTTTTATGGAGTCTTTAGGGTTTTCTATGTACAGTATCTTGTCATTTGCAAATAAGGACAGTTTTACTTCTTCTTTTCCAATTTGGATGCTTTTTTTTCTTCTTCTTGTCTGCTTGCAATGGCTAGTACTTTCAGCAGTATGTTGAACAGGAGTGGTGAGAGTTGATCCCTGATAAAGAAGAACAAAGTAGGTGGGATCTCAACACCAGATATCTAGCTGTATTACAAAGCCACTGTTCTTAAAACAGCCTGGTACTGGCACAAGAACAGACATATAGACCAATGGAATAGGATAGAGAACCCAGAAATAGACCCAAATCCTATGCTCAATTAATATTTGACAAAGGAAGTATGAATATTCAATGGAGTCAAAACAGTCTCTTCAATAAATGGTATTGGAAAATTGGATAGATACATGCAAAAAAAAAATGAAACTAGATCACCAACTTACACCATACACGAAAATAAATTCAAAATGGATCAAAGACTTATACATGTGATGGGAAACTATAAAAATACTAGAGGAATCCATAGGCAGCAAAATCTCAGCCATAGGCTGAAGCAATTTCTTCACTGATATGCTCCTAGGGCAATGGAAACTAAAGAGAAAATAAATAAATGGGACTACATCAAAATAAAAAGCTTTTGAATAGCAAAGGAAACCATCAATAAAAAAATAAGAAAATCCACTGCATGGGAGAATATATTTGCCAATGATATCAACAATAAGGGTTTAATCTCCAACATTCATAGGGAACTCATACAACTTAACAAAAGAAAGGTAAACAACCCAATCAAAAATGGGCAACTGATCTAAATGTACACTTTTTGAAAGAAGAGAGAAGGAAGGCCAAGAAACATATGAAAACATGCTCCAAGTTACTAATCATCATAGATATGTAAATCAAAACAAATATGCGGTACCATCTCACACCTATCAGAATAGCTATCATAAACAAATCAACAAATGACAAGTGCTGGTGAAGATGTGGAGAAAAAGGAACCCTCGCGCACTGCTGGTGGGAATGCAGACTAGTATAGCCACTATGGAGAACAGTTTGGAGTTTCCTCAAAAAAACTGAAAATGCAACTCCCATTTGACCCAGTGATTCCACTTCTAGGAATATATCCCAAGAAACTAGAAACACCAATCAGAAAGAATATATGCACCCCTA